AATTCGGGGCTCTCGATCAGCCCCGATCTTGATGCCACTTCACAATGCTCATCGACTTGTCTCCGTGCTCACCTCTTTGGAAAAGACGCCACCGCTGAATAGTTTTGGATGCTGCAGCAGGATGTTGCGGCCCGCTTCGAACTTTGCAAAGAGGGTGAAGAGGGCGCCGTAGAAGAAGAGGGTAAGGAGGATGCGCAGAGAAGGCACTTCGACCCAGGCTTTGAAGATGATGGGCGTCAATCTGGGATTGTTCCCGGATGCACCATTCTGCTTTGCTTGTTTGTATTGCAAGCTCTGAGTGAGGCGGACGACTGGCAGTCGAGTGGAAACGTGTATCAGTTCGCAGCCCTCGGCATGCCACCATCTCAATCGCACGCGCGCTCACCTGCGGGATCTGCAAAGATGAAAGGAACGAGATATGCCTTGACTTCGTTCGCCCATTTGAGGATGCCTCCTCGCTTGGGGAAGCCGAGCTGTTTGGCTTGAGGTTTAGGAGTCGGCAGCAATCCAGTCGAGGCCGGCCTGTCGCCCTTTGCGGGCCTATCGTACAGCGCTTTGCGCGTGCGTATGAGCTTATCGCGAGACGCAAAGCCGTTGACCGCAGAGGCATACGTTCCGAAGTTGCTGCAGCGGCATGATGACATAGGCGCATGAGAGAACTCAGCGCTCACTGAGTCATATGCTCGCCAGCTTGACTGCACTGCAAACTCACCCGCCGGGTACCAGACCGCCGGTGTTGAGGGCAAAGAACATCTCGACGGATGCGGGCACAGCGTTACGCCTGATGAGCTCCTGCTTGCACACCTCCACGGCCATATCCGAAGGCACAGAATCGAAGGCGGAAGCAGGTACCAGCGTGGATCCGACTTCCTCCGCCTCGGCGTGATATTTTAGGACCATCTGCGTTGGTGAGGGGTAGCGAGTGTCAGCATGCAATGACCTGGTGCGAAAGCGCGCAGGCACACAAATCACGCTCACGTCCTCGATGAAGCCCGGCTCCCCACTCAGATCCGCATAGTCGGTAGCGTTCTGCCCCTGCGCTTTCAATTGGCGCGACGCTCGAATGGTGGCGCGCACCACTGGCGGTCCATACTTTGCGTAGGGGCCAACGCAATTGAGGATCACTGCGGAAGGACGAAAAGGGGTGTGGCGGCGGCTGACGTCAGCTCCATGACACGCATGCAAGCTGTGCACCCTCTACGATTCACACTTTGTGCCCTTTGCCAACTCTTCCAGCGCATCCTCGTCTGACGTGTCGACGATGACGAG